AATACTGTTCCAGCTTACATACAAAGTCGACTTAAGGACAGATCTTGGGAATGGAACTCGTTCTTAAACTGGGGACTCCCTGTATTTTAGATTAGCACCTCAGCGATTTCTGCTAGGTTAACTTCCAGAAGTGACAGTGAATGGTACATGTCATTGATGGCCATGTTAATATACTAGCCATCAGTTCTTGAGCTGACATAAAATTTGCTGCTTTGATTGCAGATCCTTACTCTACCATAATAACAAGGTTGGCAACTGGTGGTTTTCCTACAGTTTAAATCAGGACAACTTAAGGAAAGTGATTAGTGTCAGCTGCCAGCAGGAAAGCAATTACCAATCAGTTCCCTGTTATGGAGTGGGATGAGGTGGGGTTGGTGAGTGTAGCCAGATGCCTGGAATGGCATGTTTTGCCACCTGTCAAGTTGTCTCATTAACAAGGCACAGCCATGGAGTTGATCCGTATCTATGAGCTGTAAATCAGCCTATTTCCAAACATGATTCTATCATTGTTCTAACCTGATGTCCCAAAATAATGTGGTTGACTGATCACAGTTATGGAGGAGGGGCACAGGGAGAAAATGAGGATCTGTGACCAATCCTGCAACAGAATGGCACTACTGGCAGATAATCCAGTTCAGTCCTTGAACCCCGAAGTCATCCATAGCACATGTATAGCTAAAATGGAGTAGACCTAAAGGCAATGACCACACCAAAGTATATTCTCATAGTATCTGCCTGGCTAATCTGATCTGGAAGGGTTGGTGTGTTCCAGGTTTGTAAACCTCCCAGAGTCATTGGGAGTCAGGTGGCTGCTTATTATTATTATTATTATTATTATTATTATTATTGTGGAAAAAATTAAATCAGCCTTCTGGGTAGCATCAAATTAGCATTCTCTAAACAGAGAGCTAGTCCTGTTTTTCAAGCACCAGTATAGTGCTCTTTCAAAAGCACTAAATCCACGTTTATAAGGAGTCTGCATAAGATTTGACAATCACTTCATAAAGCACCCATCAGGGATTATGGGAGCAGATGCTTCTGTGGAAGCTGGGTGTCTTATTATTCCTAAGGCCCAAGGCAAAAGGACCATGGAAGGCTGTTCCCAGCACCTGGAGGAGAGGAGGGGCAAAAACCTGAAGTAGCTAATAGGATTCCCCACTCCTGACCACAATGTTCATAAAGCCTACTGGATCATAACTATGTTAAAATTGTGTTGGGGGAAAGAAGGAAGACGCTACTTTAAAACAGAAGCCTCTAAAGAGAACTTTAGATTTCCTCAGCAGGGGCTGGGGATGAGAATATGGCATGCTGAATAACGCTATAGTTAGAAGGATAGGAGGATGACCTCATCAAAACACCATTCGTGCTGCAAATAAGACTGTATTTCTGCTTTTCATAGCCAAAATCTTATGGGAATATATTGTACAGACCAGGCATTGCTCTATTTATTTTGTAGGTGGGACTTGAACAAAACAAGATGCCTAGGGGAGAGCATTACCTAGACAGCAACTTTGGTAGAGGGAAAGGATATACTTCTCTTTCTGCAGAAGAGTAAGCATTTTTGGACAAATGTTTTATATTCAGTTTGAAATATGTGCTTTTCATTTGTGGAAAGGACAACAGAAGTGCTTTTCTTCGTTTAAACCCATATTGACTCCCCAGTAGTACATATGGTTCACTTGAGGAACTGCAGAGGCATTTAACAATTGTTATCCACTTTCCTGCGGGATAGAAATTATATTCCAAAGTTTATGCTAGATATTACCATGAACTAACTATGGGTAAATCACTTATCCAACATTTCAGTGCCAGGCAATGCAACTAACTTTTATCCATATTTGTGCAGTATTACCAGCTGTTTTATGGTGGTTAGTTGGCTGCAGAGAGTAAGGAAGGTGACCTTGACAGAGACATGCGAGCTCTGTTACCAAAGCAATGAGGAGAAAAACATATCTTAAGTCCACAACAGGCAGATAGCATTTGCAAGTGGCTGAGACAGACACCTCCCTAATTCACAAGAGTATAAGAAAGGAGAGGAGGTACAGCACAATCAGACTTGCAAGATTCTCAATAAAAGTAGTTTTAGCCTTCTTGTAGGATTGATTTCTTGGTCTGGTCTACCAAGACACTGGCAGACATTTTCTGATTTCTTTTGCTGTGGTAATAATTCTGTTTAATACAATGAATATGTATGTATGTATGTAATTTATATACCACCTCATTGGCAATTTACAGTATATACAGTAAAATAAAAATACAATAATAGAATACAAGATATTACAATACATAATATAATACAATGTAACAGTGCAATAAACTAATATGATGGCCTGATCAAGGTCAGAATCCCCAGAGACAGGCTGAGTTTCCTTCCACACTATTTGTATCCCCTTTTCACACCTTCCCTGCACTCTGCAGAATTATAAATAGACAGACTAATAGAGATACTACAGCTAGAGACGTTTCATTCTGTGGTTGCTCCATCTTCCAGTCTCTCTCTCACAGATTAACACCCCCTAACTCTGAGTTTGGTTGATACACTGAACCATGATTTAGGTGAGTAAATCTATGACAAATGATGGTTTAAGTCTGTAATCCTTAACCACAATTTAGCCCATGGTCTGGATTTGAACATCACACTATCCCTAACTACATGATGGCTTAGCATGTTATATGAACACTGACATGAATTTCACATTTGAAAACATGTTAAATAGAGGCTCCATGCACTGAATCAGTTGCAATAATCAAACATCCATCTTTATTCCTTTGTTCCTAACTGGCCCTGTGTTTCTAGCATATATTATAAATTTTGTCATAGATATACGAAATTCCACTGAATTCATTTGAACATTAATATATTCCTTATAAAATTATACATTTATTAATAGCAGCTGTTATTTTTTGTCCATTTAAATGAAAATGTTATGTTTTATAAAGTATGAAGTCAAGTCGCCTTTTCTCTGCACTCGAAATGGAGAATAGTTATTCCATATCCTTAGCAGTAAATAGACCCATTTGTCTTTTTCAACAGGGCCGCAGGAATTGGAATTCTAACTCTTGTTCTTGCAGTTTTACTGATTCTTGGCTGTTGGTGTTGTAAAAGGCACAGTGGTTATACAAGGCTTTTGGTAAGGATAAACTGCCTTCCTATTACATTATTCATTAGATCCACCTCGTTTGGACAGTTTTTCATTTCTACAAAATATGCTGAAACTCAAGTCTGCTTAGAATCCATACCATCTGATCCAGGAGATGTTCCTCTTTTTCCTTGATACATAAAGACATGCTGTAATGAATCATTGCCAAAGGAAATACACTGTAACCTGAAGCTGTTCAGGAATCTTTGTAGCTGCATTCACACAATGTGCTGGATGGAGTCGGTTACAATTCTACTCGCTGCATTTGGACAACAGTTAGCATGAACCTTGATTGATTTTTGTGGATTGGCACGTTGAAAGATTTGTTATTTATTTTTATCAATTTATGTGGCTGCTCATCTCACCAGTGTGACTCTGGGCAGCTAACAGGAATTAAAACACAATAGAAATACAATGTATATTTAAAAATAAAATAAAAAAAATACTGTTCCAACCGACTAACGCAAAGTGATTCCCAAGCACCCCATTCACCAACAGTGTGGGCTCGATTACTCTCCTGGCCACCATGCCTGGGAAAACAACTAGGTCTTCAAGACTTTCTGAAAGATGAGCAGAGTTGGGGCCAGCTGAACCTCAGGCAGTATGATGGCCTAGAGTGAAGGTCCAGCTACACTTCCTGGGTCCCACTAGATGACAATCCCTAACAGATAGATCTGGAGCATGCCCCTCTGGTTGATCTAATGGAATTGGTAGAAACTATGGGAGTCAGGCTGTCCCTCAGATGTGCTGGCCCCATACCATGTAGAACTTCATGGGTAATAACCAGCACCTTGTATTGCACCTGGAAGCAGACTGGAAGCCAGTGTAGCTCACAGAGCAAAGGTGTACTATGGGCATAATGAGACATACCTATAATTGCCCATGCTGCTGCATTCTGGACCAACTGAAGCTTCTGGATGTTCTTCAAGGGCAGCCCCATATACAGTGCATTGCAGTAATCCTTTTAGGAGGTGATCAAAACATGAGTGACTGAGTGCAGTGCCGCTTAATCCAAGAAGTGGTGGAATTGGTGCACAACATGAAGCTGTGCAAAGGCCTCCTGGCCACAGCTGCCACCTGCTCTTTGAACAGGAGCCCTGAGTCCTGCAGGACCCCCAAATCACATACCAGTTCTGTCTGGGATAGTGCGACAAATTAGATTAAATCACAAATCAAATTTGATTTAATTAAGAATATATTGAATTAATGATGACTGCAATGTATTTAATGTTTTCTTGTTTCTGTAACATGAAAAATTACAGTTTGCTTGCAAATTTGGATGGTTCTCTGAGAGCTGCACCCAAAATTTAAGGGCTTACATCTGAACCAGGGGCCTTCAGGTTGGGAACATCTGATCTAGCATTAAGCCTGAATATAATAACAGCCACTGATGCTGAGCCTGGGCATAAATGTAGCCATGAGTTGCATTATGCTACACAATGGCCATGGAAAAGTTAATCATTTTGCATTAACATAATCAGGAAGATATTGTCCCTTCTTGCTGAAAAGTGTTTTTTAAAATTTTGTATATTTATCTCCCTTTTTTTTTTATTGTGGAATGAAAATCCATATACATGAAGTTCCCAAGAATTCATCAGCCAGAAATCTACCTAGCTTTAGCAGTTACTGTCTGGTAGCACTTGATTAGAGAAAGGAGGATCTGCTTTTGTAAGTGACATAAGGACCCTTATGTTAATGCAGAACAGACAGTAGAAGAGAAATTGAATGGATGTTCTAACTTGTACCGTTCACACTGGCATTGTGGACAAACTTATATTCCCAGAAGTAAGCCTCACATGTGCAAGCAGACTGAGGCTAAACTGTCCTACTTATGTTACAGTATGATTTTCCCCTTGCATTTCAAGATCTCTTTTGTCTCTCCTTTTCTATTCATTTGATTTATATCCTGCCTTTCTGCTCTGCTGAACACTTTCTAATGTTTGCCTTTGCACTACAGAGTAAGAATTCTGGATTGGCCCCTCTGACCACCTCAAAAGCCAGAAGCTCCTTATGTGACTCCAAATTGCCCTTGCAGGAATACAGGTGCAACTATAATCATGTGGTAAGATGATTGTTTATCTTTACATCTGATAAATGTTTCAGGAGAGTACAATTTAGAAAGTCAGTTTAAAAAAAGAGTTATAAGAGATACCTGTCCAAGAATGAGAAGCTTGGGCTGGATATAGACTTGTGAAAACAAAGACAAAAAATGTAAAAATATAAAGTATAAATTCAGGGAAGAGTTAAAGATATAAGTAGGACTTCCAGGGGGACACGGTGGCGCAGCGGCTTAATGACGCTGAAAGTTGCCGGCCAGA